CACGCTCCTCGGTCACCCACGTTTCCAGCGACCCCAGGAGCCCTCGTCTTGCACGATCAGTGTGCAGTGGGAAGGCACGCAGGTTCGTACACTGCAGTAAATATAGCCTCAGAACTGTTTTGCATCCTTATTTCTCCGAGTAATCTGTTCTGCCAAGTTTCCCCCTTTATAGTCAGAGACCAACCAATTACCATGAAAATCAGATGAATAAATATTGAAGAGAATGTGTTCATCGTCTATTTTGGTGTCCTAACAGCAAGGAAGTGACATTACATTCGTAATTAAGTCTTTCTCAGCTGAAGCTCTCCTCCACTGGATCAATTAAATTAGATCATCAGATCTAGCAAAAAGCCTCCCCAAAGAACACTTATTAGTTGGTGCGACTGATTTTCTCTGAGGTGCCAGATTTCTCCTTAGAAATTAAAGTCTTGTAGACAGCACAGCTGGGGTCGTGGCTTACAAGAACACCTGCTTCAACCACATTCCTTTAGCTTCCTTCCCTCCCACCTTCCAAATTATCTTAAAAAAAAAAAAGTTTGTAAGTAGGCTCCACACCCAAGGTGGGGCTTGAACTCACAGCCCTGAGACTCATGAAGCGACAGGTGCTCCACCAACTGAGCCACCCGGGTGTCCCTACACGTTACGTTGATACTGGTTTGGGAATGCAGAATATATTAGTAGTAGTACTACATGTCCTTTTTTGAGAGAGAAAGAGAGAGAGGGAGAGAGAGAGAGAGAGAGAGAGAATCCCAAGCGGGCTTCATGCTCAGTGCTGAGCCTGACGTGGGGCTCGATCCCTTGACTATGAGATCGTGACTGGAACAAGAGTCAGATGCTTAACCGACTGAGCCCCCCAGACACCCCAATACGTGTCGTTTCGTAATCATCAATCAATCTTTTGTCTACAAGGACTGAGTATATGACCCATTAACCGTCTTTGCTCTATGAGAGGGCGTAACGTAGCTAAACTGTTAACTTCTCTTTTCTCAACAATACCTAAATGTTGCAACTGAAATCTTCGCATTCTCTTAGCCTTGCTCAGGTGTTTTCTTTCCTATTTTGTCTCAGAAAACAACAGATGGATTAGTAGCAGCCCTTGGAAAGGGAAGCCTCTCTGGGCTGATTCTGTTTAGAGACGCCTATCTGTGATGAGGCATCTGTAGCAGCAGGGGACCCTCAGCTCCCACGTGGCCTGCGGGGGCCCTCGGCTCCCGTAAAAGCCCGAGGTCGATCGGCACCATCACGTGCTCGTAAAACACCTACTATGTGCCTGGCACTATTCTACGTACTGGACGTAATGCAGTGACTAAGGCTGCCACCCTCACAGGGATGACAGGGCAGTGCGGGGAACCAGTCAGCGAACCAACGAACAAATAAATGAGTGCTTGTGTGTGACAAGGCCTTGAAGGTCACAACGAATCGTGGTGCAGAAACAGGGGCTCTCCAGGACACTCTATGTGACATACGAAGAGGGATGGCCTCTCTGATTTGCAGCCTCCCTAGCTTGTTATAAGGTGAGTATACCCCTGGCCCCCAAACCAGACCAGCATACACAAGCAAAAGGCAGCCAAGGCAACGAAGACCGACCCCACGGGTGAAGGGCAGCCAGAAACACCCAAGAGGAAGTGTCGGGTGCCCAAATCCCGCAACGCGGTCCGTGACGGCTGCATCAGGACCAAGCTGGGCATGTGCCAGGACGCAGCGTCAGAAGGATCTGCCTGTGTAACTGCCCCCTCCCCACGTTAACAGACTCCAGAAAAAAACCCCCATGATTATTGTACTATTTCAGCTGAGGCTGAAGCAGCATTTGACAAAATCCAATACCCATACATGACAAAAGCAATCCGGTAACTAATTTCTATGAATTCCACACAAGCAGAAACTGTCCTCTTAAACCTGCTCACGGACGTATCCCAGGTGTCAAAGGTAGGGCCCAGATTTGTCACTTGGTGCACAGCTGTTGAGCGACTGAATGAATCAGAGAACAAAGTCCTCTCTTCGGCTGATGAAGACAATCCCCCAGAGCTACGTCACCCTCAGTAGAACAAAACCCGCCAACATCCCCTTTCAGGCTGGGGACGAGACGAGGGCGCCCTCTCCCGGTGAACGCTCCGGGGCGCCCCGGTGAGCGTGCCACGGGGTCAGAAACCGGAAGGCAGGAGACGCGACTGTCCATGTGTGCCACGGCCTGACCGCCGTTCCGGTAACACCGCTGCCATCGGCAAGATTTCTGGGCGCAAGATCATACCACATTCCTCTCCCTGCAGCAGTCACTGTTGAGAAAACGTGGCCCAAATCACACACCGCTTGGGCCAAGAATTCAAACCAGACACTCCAGGGAGTAACCAAACAAAGGAAACACAACAACTTTCCAGAGAGAGTTTTTAAGTTCTGACAAGGGACAGCTTAAAACTAAGTAAGTAGAGACTCACGCCATGTTCGCGGATGTGATGATTTAATGCTGAAAACCGTCAGCTCTCCCTGAAATTAATCCGTGAACTCAACACCGGTCCTACCAAAATCCCAGCACGCGTTTTCGGTGGGGGGCTAAACGGACTCCAAAACCACAGCAAAGAGGAATAGAGGTCCGAGAACAGCTTAAAAAGAGAATGCTAATAGGAGTTGCAAGAGGAAGGACTTATACTGCCACATGTTAAGACCGTTTCAAAGCCAGAGTGACCACGACATGTGGTACTCGTATCAGGACCAAACAGTCCGCTCAACAGGACAGGGCAGACTCTCGAGAAAAACAAGGGACACAGAGCACCGAGAACGTTAACTCAAGGCGCATCCATAGGACAGAAGCCTGGCTCACCACCTGGAGACTTAAGGGATGCTGGGTCCCTGTCTTATGTCACTGTCAAAGTAACTCTAGTCAGAATTAGAACCTAATTGTGAAAAATAAGCAAACGCAGAAGTCACAGAGGAACAATGTGCATCTATGACTGCAGGTCAGGAAATCTTTTATGTTTACTTTTTAAATGTTTCTAATGTTTCTTTATTTATTTTGAGAGAGAGAGAGTACGAACAAGGAGGGGCAGAGAGAGAGGGAGAGACAGAATCCCAAGCAGGCTCCGCACTGTCAGTGCAGAGAGCCCGATGTGGGGGCTCAAACTCCCAAACCATGAGATCGCGACCTGAGCCGAAATCAAGTGTCAGATGCTCAACCGACTGAGCCGCCCAGGTGCCCCATGAGGAAATCTTTTAAAACTCAAGACCACAGGGGCACCTGGGTGGCTCAGTCGGTTGAGCATCTGACTCTTGATTTCGGCTCAGGTTATGATTTCATGGTTCATGGGTTTGAGCCTTGTGTCAGGATCTGTGCTGATTGTGGAACCTGCTTGGGATTCTCTCTCTCCCTCTGCCCCTCTCCCCTGCTCTCCTTCTCTCTCTCTCTTTCAAGTCAAAACAAAACAAAACAAAACTCAAGGCCATAAACCATAAAAGGGAAACTTCCATTTGATGAAGAACATCACAGACAAAATGATCAGATTCGGGGAAAAAATGGGAGGGTTCATGTGGAAATTCTATGGCTGAGAAACTCAGGAAGTGAGCTGGGTGAGAAGATCAGAAGAGAAGCAGGGGGGAGGTGGGCGCATCACATTTACTGGAAGAACCTCTGGACACGCGGTCGTAGGGTGACACTGGGACATGCTCTTCCCCGGAGTCTTGGACTTGCCCCGCAGGGAGGACGATGTCAAGGAGGCTGAGGGAACCCTGGTGCACGGCCGCCGTGCCCCCTGGTAGTCTAGCCGTTCTGGAAGCAAATGCACAGCCCTGGCGAAACCAAGTGTGCGCACGTCCGGCGACCAAAACCCCGGTCCCGGGATGTGCCCCAGAAAGACCATCGTGGGCGCAGGGAAAATGCACGGAGACTTCGTAGCACCTTCAGCCCTGCATGAGAATGTTCCACAAGTGACGTGTGGCCGTGGATGGGGGCCGCTGGGCCGCCCAGCCAAGCGACGATCCCGTGTACAGAAAGCACCACAGACAGATCTCAAAAACACATGCAGAGTTTGACATGGGATTTGAGGGGCAGGACTGTGTTAGCAACTTCCTGAAATGCACAAACACACAGTGTATCTTCTCCCTGATGTACCTCCGTGGGAAAAACCACACAACCGAAGAATGTGGATCGGAAGGATTCACATTACGTTCCTAGGGAGGGGGTTGCCCAGGTGGAGAGGGGAGAGGGGCACGGAGACGATGTCCGGAGAGCCAAGGTGCAGACGCCCTGGAGCAGCAGATCATGTGACATAACAACTCTCCCCTCCCCCACCAAACACGGTTAAACTGCGTTCAAGTCCAACCGAAGACGGAGGCTTCGTCCCTACCCATCGATCAGGACAGGCCATGTTCTAATCTACTGTTCGGATAACTACCTGCTTCTGTGTTTTCACTGGATAAAAGGTTTTACACAACAATCTTGGAACTTATTTAATGGTTCAGTTAATGTAATTATGTTTATTAAACTTAGCAGTTCTTAGACTGTGCCAAGATCAAGTCCAATCTATTTACTGACCGGAAGACGGGAAATTCAGTCAGACCCACACGGTTCATCAGACATGACTGTACCACCAAGAACGGCCACACACACTGTCCCCGAGTGGGAAAGCGGGAAGCTAATTAAGAGGGGGTCTGTTTATTGCTTCATCACGTCTTCTACTCTAGGAACTCTTGGAGACACTGGAGATCAATATTAGAAGCCCAGGAACCCTGCACTTCCTCATCCACTATGAATGGATTGGACAGGAAAACTTTCCCTGTTTTTGTACTTATTGTAAAGGACGTCAGAGTTAAAGCTTTCGCCTCGGGCCCTCGTGAGGTTTCCAAGCGCGAGCCAAGCGCTGGCCTGTGTGCCTGGGCACCCGGGTCCCCGAGAAGTGGCCGCCAGGACGTCAGCAGGTGCGCACAGCAGCAGAGGGAAAGTGTGGTCACCCGGCACAGAGGACAAGGGGAGACTGCTCTAAGGAGGCAGGTCATGTCCCGCCCGTGCTCACCGTGCCCTCCGGGTCCACGAGCAGCAGGTGCTTGGCCTGGCCGTTGTGCATGCCCGTGAGGACGAAGGAGCCCGGGTTGGTGGCGCTCTTCCTGACCAGGAAGTCCCCGTCGTTCTTCAGCAGCCCCTCGGCCTCCTTCCGGCTCATCTCCCCTTGGTACCAAGGCTCCCCTTCCAGCTCCTCCAGCATCTTGGCATCCGGGGCTCTGGGCGTGACAGGGCTGATGCACTCCACGGAGGCCGCCTTGCTCAGCACAGGCCCCGAGGACTGGTTCCTGAGAGCGTCTTCAAAGGGTTCTGTCAACAGCAATTGCCAGCAACAAGTCAACCCCACGAAGAGCAAATGATAACATGCACAATGTGATCTCGATGGAAAAGCCGAGGCAACTTCCACCAGAAACAAACCTAAAGAAAGGTGACTGGCTGGCACTATTGACCGTGTTTGGAGGCACAGGCCGAACCCCGGCACGACTCTTTCTGACGAGCCTGTGTTCCCAAGACAGCTGGGCGCTGCGCCTCGTGCCAAGGACTCAAGCACACCCTCTGTCTAGCCGGTCAGAATGACTTCACTTTGGCACGCTGCGAGAGGCTGTGCATATCGCCCTCCATCTACCTTTTCTGGGACATCGGCTAGCCTCTTAATAAACCTGTTTTCTTCTGAATGGAAACCTGCCATTGCTCCTGGAAATATGCAGAGAAAAGGATAATCTGCAAAGTTAGAGTCACTGCAAAACCTATACCCAGCCCATCACACGTTTGTTTCAAAACCTTGGCATCAAGGTAAATTTTTCAAAGAGAAGAAAAGTGACATTTATTGGGTGCCTTTTGTGTGACGCGGCCCGGGTTAGGAGCCCCACCTCTCCTTGGCCTTCACTCGTTTCTCTGTGGAAAAAAGCTCCTGTGTGGGCATCTGAGACCCGGCATGACCACAAGCCCCCCAAGGACACACTTCCCACCCTGGGGTCAGTGAACGGTAGGTCCGCTGCTCTAACAGGAACAGACACGGCAGCACAAGAAGTCGCCAGGAACATCTAATTAAACCTCAAAATGAGGCCATATGTACGAAAGTGCCGAAGGCGCCCACGGCACCACACAAGTGTCAGGTGTGAGGATGAGCACATGGGACCACGTGGCCAAAGCAGCACAGTGCAAGCGCCACAAGGACAGGAACAGTCCTCTCCTGGGCACAACGACGTCCCCACGCTCCAACGTCGTCCCTGGGACGTAGTTCGCGCCCTACACGTATTCAACAAATGCTGCAGAATAAGACCGATTATGAGTAGAGGGTGGGCAAAAGCGAGGTGAATAAATGAAACCCAAGTCGGGGTGTTTTAACACTTGTTAAATCATTTACAGACCTGAGAATACAAATAGGTTAAAACTATTGCCCAAAATTAGATTTTCTGTTTTTATCCTTTTTCTTCCTGATTACCTGGAGTAGTTGAAAGTTGTATTATACCATTTCTGCATCATCACCACCGCCATTATCACTATCAAGACCATCACTATTGTCACCACCATCATTGACCTCATCATCACCATCATCACCACCATTATCACCATTGCCACATCAGCACTATAACCATCATCACCACTATCACCATCACCACCATCATCATCATCACCACCATCATCACCACCACCACCATCAACATCACCACCATCACCATCATCATCACCACCACCATCATCACCATCACCATCATCACCATAATCACCACCATCACCAATCATC